CCAAACCTCGGACCTCGGCGGATCGTCCTTTTGACCTTTTATCAAAGATAGTGGTTTCGGTGAACGAGCTTGATGTTCGGAAGTACTTCCGCGCTCCCCCCTGGTGAGATGTTCCCGGCTCTGAGGTTAAGGTGAGCGCCGGGAGTCCTCTTGGAGTATATAACGTTTCTTTGTCAGTTTCAATTTCAGAAGAAGGTCTTGTCTCTGGTGGTGATAACACCTTTCCGCGATCTTCTGTGCTGCCCTTGCTTTGTAGTCGATTCATACCTTCGGTGACGTTTAGCATCATCGCTGTCATGTGAGCGAACATCTGCTGCATTTGTTGGTATTGCTCACATAATTGTCCTTCAATCCCTTCGACTGGTGGTTCTTTTCTCTTCTCGGGAGACAGGTTTACGGGAGACAGGTTTATCTCACGTTGCCTTGGCGGGGTGGGTGAGACGTCGGATTCTACGTCGACAGTGTCTCCTTGTTCCACGCCGGACACGCTCTCCACTTCTGACTTATTCCCTTTCCCGTCCATGACTGCCAGAACAGCGAGCGTGATCTGTCTTGCTCATTAAATGTATGCAGTGACGCTTAGTATCAGCTACTACTTATGATGGCGCCCCCCGATCGTGGATATCACACAATTGGAGTTGATGTCACACTGACGCGTGCCATACGCACGAGTGATGTCACACACAAGCGACGTCCCTCAAACACGTGACGTGCATTACGCACGAGTGATGTCACACACGAGCGACGTCCCTCAAACACGTGACGTGCAATACGCATGAGTGATGTCACACTTACACAACCACAGTGATGTCACACACGAGCGGCGATGTCACACTAACACGACCACAGTGATGTCACACACGAGCAACGTCCCTCAAACACGTTACGCGCAATACGCACGAGTGATGTCACACTAACACGACCACAGAGACCCACAATCAATGTAGGGACTCGTTACACAACTGATGTCACAAACACTACTGCGGCTCCCTTACTTATACAACACTACTTAGCTTGTCACAACCTTCGTTGTTATTTCTTATTTACACACACATACCGCCCTTCAGGATTTATTGAACAGTCTTCAAAACTGGGCCACCAACAACCATGTCACCATCAACCATACCAAGACCATGGTTATGCACATCAACCTCTCCTCCGACATTGTCCCACCCCCTTCCATTATTTTAGGTCCCAACACACTCCAGGTTGTAGATTCCACGAAGCTCCTCGGCGTCACCATAGACAACAAACTAAATTGGAAACCACACGTCAGTGAAGTTGTCAAATCCTCCAGTTTCCGTCTCCACCTCCTCCGCCGACTCAAGTCCCTCGGAGTTCCTACACCCGAGCTCCTCAGTGTTTACACAACATTCATACTTCCCAAGCTCACCTATGCCTCCCCCACCTGGTCTTCCTCCCTAAATGCCACACAACGTAAACACCTAGAAAAAATGCAAAAGAGGGCATGCAAGATTGTTCTCTCCCCTTCCTACTCCACATATCAAGAAGCGCTCAACACACTGACCCTTTCGACTCTCAGTGACCATCACCACGACCTCATCTGCAAATTTGGTAAGAAGCTTCTACACCATCCTCGACACCGGCTCCTACTACCACCTGAGATCCCTAGCCCGAGAATTGCTGTTCGACACCACAACCGCATCCAGCCCATACGTGCACGAACTGATTGCTATAAGAACAGCCCAGTCCCAACCATTGTAAAAATTATCAATAACTTGTAATAAACCAGTGTATTCACTCCCAGTAAATACTACTTCTTGCACTGTCACTATGTTGAAATGAACTGTAGTTTGAGCTTTTCCCCATCTAGTTATTATATATCTTATTTGTATCACTTATGTTACTTGTATATTATTTATAATTCGTAACCCATTCCCCAAATATGTAACTGTATATTTTCAGCCTTCTGACTGCCAAGCTCTTTCAATAAACCGTTAATTATTATTATTATTATTATTATTATTACATACACCAGTGTCAGCTACTACTTAAACTTGGCGACCTAGTCTGGCTGTACGTTTTGATCACTAACTCTCCCGCGTTCCTGTCCGAACAATTTTGGCACCAAGACCAGTCTTTCTGACACCAATTTCTCGTGGTAGCTGGTGTGGTTATCCACAATGAACACTAACACTCATGCGCGATCGTCCGAACAATATTGACACGACGTCCAGTCCTTCTGAATTAAGATCCTCTTCCTTTCACTCGCTGCGCTGACACGACCCTCAGTTGCTCCCAGCTGGTTCTATAACCTCACGTTTTGACTGTTAACGCTCATAGGAGCGATATTGGTTTGTGCTGGATAATAAGACCCTTGTCGTTGACGCGATGAGTATAATTCGGTCACAACCTGTTAAGGAACAATATAACAACCGCTGGTATATCAGGACACACAGTATGATTAGTACGATCAATGTACAGTACATAACCTATTTATCTCTTAAATATAACTCACATGTTACAACTGCTGATACATCTGGACACAGTTTGTATAATATGATCAATATTCAGTACATAAATACACTTATTAAAGTTATTTAGAGTTCTTAGAAGATTTAATAGTTCACAATCACACTCACGTTTTGGGATCTAGGGTTTGACCAACGAGAATAAATAGAATATCCTCCTGGTAGCTGTTGTCTCTACAGTAGAAGGCAATAGACTGTCCCTCAGACAGTCACACAGCTGCTACCAGCGTGGCCGATGCGCTCATTTAACACCTCAGCAAAGTTTGTTGTCAACACTCTGTCTCTCCTCTCACCCTCTCTCTCTTCTAGTTTATCTTACTGTGGCGGTAACACCTTCTGCCAGAAGAAAGCGATGGCCCAGAGCAAAGTTCACGATCTAAAGGGCGTATGGTGGAAAATTAAAGCGTGTGAAATGCAAAACTTTACAGATCTACACAAGATACACGAATTTTTCAATTCCACTAAAACAATAAATGGCCCAACTACTCGTGGTGCGAGCCCCCTCTGCCCCTCCGACAGTAACTCCATAATTAAAGAGGAAGAAGCCATCCGCCTGCGCTGGAAAGAGCACTACCGAAACATCGATGTGGATGTCTTGACTACCCAGCAGGTCCCTCAGCACCCAGAGCTGACCCACCTTAGCTATCCTCCATCCCATGATGAGGTAGCTACTGCCATCAAACAAATGAAAAATAATAAAGCCATTTACACTCTCTCCTGAAGAATATATGGGAGAAGGAGGAAATCTCCCAAGATCTTAAAAACGCTTCCATCGTCAATATTTATAAGAACAAAGGAGACCGGTCATACTGTGGCAACTACTGCAGGATCTCGCTGCTGTCCTTAGCTGGCAAGATTATCGCCCGAGTCCTCCTCAATAAATTTCTTTCTGAAGCAAAAAACTTTCTTCCACAATCTCACTGTGGCTTTAGGCCATCACGTGGTACTACTGACTTGATCTTTGCTGCTCACCAGATACAGGAAAGGCGCAAAGAAGAACGTCGTGACTTGTAAATAGCCTTCATCGGCCTTACCAAGGCCTTCGACTTGGCCAACAGGGAAGTCCTTAGTCGTTTTAGTTGGTTACCCACCAAAATTCACCGTTATTCTGAGGTAACTCCTCAGTGGTATGAACAGCAGTGTGTACTGCACAATGACACCCAGTCTGAGTTCTTCCCCATCCAAACGGGGGTAAAACAGCAATGTGTACTGGCACCAACTCTCTTTCCCATTTTCTTGGCTACGTTCTTTACTAGTGTCAGTGCTAATTTAGCCAGCGGGGTGAACATCCAGTACCGGGTGAAGGAACTTGTCAACATAAGACGACTCCAGGGAGGAGCAAAGGTGTCGGTCACTTCCATCACTGAATTTCAGTATGCAGACGACCTCACCCTCGTCGCTCAGACTGAACGCAACAGACAGGAGATCCTGAACACCTACGCAGTTGCAGAAGCATATGTACTCTTTGGCCTTGAGGTAAATGTACTTAAAACTCGGATTCTCCTTCAGCCTCTCCCTGGTTCAGCCACACCTCCACCATCCATCCAGCTTAACGGTACTACCCTCTTTTTCAGTATCTTGGCTTCCACCTTCTCCACCACCACGGACATCGATGAAGAGATTCAACATCGGATAAGATGTGCATCTCGAGCTTTTGGCAGAGTTCGTACCTGTGTCTTCGGCTGTAGGGAGCTGAAATTATCAACAAAGTTGCATGTATATCGAGCAGTGGTCGTCCCCACCCTGCTATATGGCAGCAAGGCATGGGTTACATACAGGAGACACCCCAAGGTACTTGAAAACTTTCACCAATGTAGTCTACGTTCCATCATCCGAGTTTCCGAGTGGGCTGGGATGACCAGAGAACAAATGCAAGTAATCCCACTGACACCAACTGTAGAAGCATCGAAGCTACCATTGTCCATGAACAACTATGTTGGACTGGCTATGTTACCCGCATGGACGGCAGTAGACTGCCAAAGCAGCTACTTTAAAGTCACCTAATGCAAACGTAACGCTGGTGGGCAACGGAAAAGGTATAAGGACAGTCTAAAGACAACATGAAAAAGTCCCAAATCGACCCCCTCACCTGGGAGACGATCACTCCAAAACGTTACGGTGTGGCGTAATTGTCTCCCAGGTGAGGGGGGTCAATTTGGCACTTTTTCAGGTGTCACTACTTTCGAGTTAGCCCGACTGTATACCGAGGCAGACAAGCGCCAGTGCCGGAAAGATGCTGCCGCCGCCCCTCCCGCACTAGATGTAGCCCTCCGCACGTGTTACATCTGTGGACGACCTTACTGTTCCCTTATCGGCCTCTCAAGTCACCCCAGTAAGAGCTCACCAGCAGAGGTGGCATCTTTAATAACTCATATCATTGTATCATAGCTGCTTGATTGTAGTCGTAGTAGTAGTGTATGTATGTATGTGCATGTATGTATGTATGCATGTATGTATGTATGTATATATGTCTCTTTACTGTATCTATCTTTATCAATCAATACTCACGTAGATATAACAGACTCAGTAAAATAGTCGTGTGACCTCCGGTGGTTGCAGCCGATGTAGGAGAGGACGCCCCCGACTACGTTCTTCTCGTTTTCTATGTGGAGGTGAGCTGAGCCGTGGCATCCCGCCTGTTGCGTCCCGCCGTTTGGGTAGTAGTCAACGTGGCCCACAGCGTCAGGGTAACCCAATTCTGTTTATAAGGGGGGATTGATGAGCTCATGTATTTCTGTCCGTCTGTCTGTTTCTCTAACTCTCTTTCTCTCTCTATCTCTCTCTAATCTAATTCTTTCTCTATTTTTTTTTGTCCTAACCCTCTCTTTCTCTCTATTTTTCTCTCTCTCTCGCTTTCTTTAAATAATTCTCTCTCTCTCTCTCTCTCTCTCTCTCTCTCTCTCTCTCTCTCACACAGGACTATACTCACTGCTAATCTCCCACTCCCAGGCGGGTATATCAGTGTGTATGACATCAACGAACACTGCATCAGAGGGGTCAAGGCGGACCTCTGGCAGGGTATTGGTGAAGTATGGACCTGCTGGGTCGAGGCCCGTGATACGACCTACCTGAAGGGGAAGTAGAGGGGAGGGGGGAGGGGGGGTATGAGCACGTTGTATAAAGTTACTTTTATTAGTTTGATTCACCTCCTTTAAGCAAGAACCTGCACAGCTTGACCCCCTTCTGTTTGATCCCTCTAAGCTTGACCCCCATAAAGTTTCACACTCTTAAAAGCTTGACGCCTTCAAGCTTTATCCTGGAGAGCTTGATCCCCCAAAAGTTTGATTTTTTTAAACTTTTACTCCCTTGAACTTTATCTTGTTAAATTTTACCTCCTTAAGCTTGACTCAGTAGAACGTGATGCCCGAAAGCTCTACCTCTTAACCTGAACCCAGTAAAACTTGACACCTTTACTTTGAACCCTTTAAAGCTTAACCTAGTAAGCCTTGACAACTTTAAACTTAACCGCAAAAAGCTCAATCGCTACAATACTGACCTTGTGACCACCATTAGTGAGGAGATATTGACCAGTGTAGCCCATGAGGTGTGACCCCAGGCTATGACCAATTAGGTGTATGGAGCCCGAGTCTACGCCATAGTACTCCTGAGGGTGATTAAAATTTTTATATATGCTATTGTGGAGAAGGACTATTCAGGGGCTACCGTAGGGACCATTTTCGTTATGATAGGGGTAATATAGACTATAATAGTGAGTACTGAGGCTACCATAAGGGCTACTTAGGCTACAATAGGAGGAGTGTTTAGGCTACTATTGGAGGACTATTTAGGCTACCACTACGAATATGCAGATACCATAGGCGTATTCAGGCTCCCATAGGGATTTTTTGAGACTACCATATACTATTATGTTATTTATGCTTACGAATGAACAAACGCAAAATCAAAATAGGAATTGTAGGGAAATGGTTGGAGTGGGAAACTCTGGGATTAAGTACAGACGGACAAGTTCATATCGCAGAAGTGGTGAAGATTTGTACTTCATATATTAAGGTGGTGAAAAATATGTGAGAGGTGTTGGTCTACTTGTAAACCAAAAGTGTCAGATAGAGTTTGTTAGGTTTATGCAACAATAATTGAGAACGAGGATAAAGTTTTAGAAAAGATTTATGGAAATTTAAAGAAGGCAAAATACACAGAGAAGTTCATTGAATCAGAAAAAAAAGAATAAATGGGTTGGGACGAATAAGAGGAAAGACAATAATTCCCTATCTGAGGACAAAGTAAAAGAGAGATGGCAGAGTAAGTAGAAGAACTATACAATGATAAGGATAAAGTAGATGTAAGAGATGAAAGGAAATAAAGATCTAACAACCAATTCTGGAAACAAAAGTTGAGGCAGCTGTGATCAAAATGAAAAATGATAAAGCTTGTGGAGATGATCAGCTTCCAGCAAAATTTATTAAACAAATGGGCAAGAATGGGATCAAATGTTTGACTAAAATATGCAACTATATATTTAAAAAGAAACCTTCCCAATGAATTAAAAAACATCTACATTCGTGTTGTCAAAGTAAGAAAAACAATTGAAACCCTGCAACCTAGGACTTGGTCACAATTTTCCTGATGCCACATGACAGCAGGGTCTACCATTAGAGTTAAACAATACCTTCCCAGGCGGTAGTATCTCCCTGTTTGATAGCTGGCCTAGTACCTACCACCTACAGTCTTACTAAACATAATTTTAAGAAGAATAAAATTTAGAATAGACAGTGAGTTATCTGAAGCTCGAAATAGATTTAGAAGGAGAAGAGGAAATAGTGAGACTGTATTTGGTTTGAAATTTTTGAGTGAAAGGGTTTTAGAAGCCCAAAGAAATTTGTATATCTGCTTTGTTGATTTTGATAAGGCTTATGATAAGGTGAAATACATAAAATTAAATAGAGGTTTTGGGAAAACTAGGCACTAAAGAAAGATATTACAATTTAAAAGTTGATTCAAAATTAAACAGGATTAATATAAAGCTGTGTTCTATCTTCAACATTGCATAAGATATTCAGAATTCTATATGAGAGACGCTCTAAGTAACAAGGCCGGAACACAAGTTAATGGCAAAGTAATATCATCTATATCCTATGCAGATGATACTACTCTTATCACGGATGGTGAAGAGGCATTACAAAAACTGGTTAACAGATTAGTGGAAACAGGTGAAGGTTATGGGTTAATAGTTAATGCTATAAAGATGAAAGTACAGTAATGTTATTTCCAGGGGGGTTAGTGGGTGGTAAGGATTGTAGTATGGGTCAGAGGCGTGGACACTCCCAGAAGACACCTGAAAGAGGTTAGAGACCTTTGAAATGTAGTGTCATAGGCGTATGTTAAGAGTAAGTTACACCGAAAACAAAACAAATGAAGAAATACTAAGGTTAGCAAAAACTTGTTAACCGGCGTTGGTTGAAAGATTTGCCTTCTACATAAAGTTCTTTAATAATCCGACTCCCAAGACAACAGTCAATAAAATTCAGGCAAAGTTTTCAGTCAGTAACAAAGTACTAAGATTAACAAAAACTTCAAGAAAATAAAAAAAATTAATAGAATAAGAAAAGTGTGAACTTTGGTCAAACAATTGGGGAGAAGAAGATAAACGAAGAAATATTATTGAGCAAAGTTAACGTTAGGAGGACCAGGGGAACGTACAGGAACAGGGATGGGTGAGGAACAGGGATGGGTGAGGAACAGGGATGGGTGAGGAACAGGGATGGGTGAGGAACAGGGATGGGTGAGGAACAGGGATGGGTGAGGAACAGAGATGGATGAGGAACAGGGATGGGTGAGGAACAGGGATGGGTGAGGAACAGGGATGGGTGAGGAACAGGGTTGGGTGAGGAACAGGGATGGGTGAATGAAATAAAAAACTGGGTCCCCAGAAAGATGTCAGATCTAGGAGGTACTCTGATTAATTTAGGAGGACTACTTAAACTTATGGTACCATAGACACTAATTAGGCTACCATATGAGGGCTATCTAGGGTAGTTCTGTAATATAACTACTTACGCTACCATAAGACGACTATTTAGGCTACCATAGGAGGGGTATCTAGGCTACCATAAGAGAACTATTTTGGGTACTGTAAGAGGGGTATTTAGGCTACCATTGAGAGTAAGAGATTCAGGGCTATGAGTGGGACTAGAGAGAGAGAGAGATATTTTGCTTACGATCAGCATTTGCAGGAGGTGGCCTGTCATAGCGCCGACCAATCGAATATTTGCAACAGCCTGGGCGTATGGCGGGAGGGCGGCCGTAGACCAATCAACTGTTACCACTCCTACCCTCTCTGACGTCTTCAGCAAAGACGTCATCATCCGTTGCATCCAAACCAAATCCACCGACTCTAAGTACCTTTGGGGACAATTGAGAGTGTATAACATGGAGTTTAATAATGATAATAATAATAATAATAATAATAATAATAATAATAATAATAATAATAATAATAATAATAAAATAATAATAATAATAATAATAATAATAAAAATAATAATAATAATAATAATAATAATAATAATAATAATAATAATAATAATAATAATAATAATAATAACGTCTCCAATACCAGCTGTCCCTTGAACACTACCGTTAATACCAGCTGTCCCTTGAACACTACCGCTAATACCAGCTGTCCCTTGAACATTACCTCTAATACCAGCTGTCCCTTGAGAACTACCCCTAATACCAGCTGTCCCTTGAACACTACCAGTAGTACCAGCTGTCCCTTGAGCACTACCCCTGATATCAGCTGTCCATTGAGCACTACCCCTAATACCAGCGGTCCCTTGAACACTACCGCTAATTTCAGCTGTCCCTTGAGCACTACCGCTAATATCAGCTGTCCCTTGAGCACTACCCCTGATATCAGCTGTCCCTTGAACATTACCTCTAATACCAGCTGTCCCTTGAGAACTACCCCTAATACCAGCTGTCCCTTGAACACTACCAGTAGTACCAGCTGTCCCTTGAGCACTACCCCTGATATCAGCTGTCCTTGAGCACTACTATCAGCTGTCCCTTGAACATTACCTCTAATACCAGCTGTCCCTTGAGAACTACCCCTAATACCAGAACACTATCCTAATACCAGATGTCCCTTGAACACTACCTCTAATATCAGCTGTCCCTTGAGCACTACCCCTGATATCAGCTGTCCCTTGAACATTACCTCTAATACCAGCTGTCCCTTGAGAACTACCCCTAATACCAGCTGTCCCTTCAACGCTACCCCCAATATCAACTGTCCCTTGAGCACTACCCCTGATGCCAGCTGTCCCTTGAGAACTACCCCTAATACCAGCGGTCCCTTGAACACTACCGCTAATTTCAGCTGTCCCTTGAAAACTACCCCTAATACCAGCTGTCCCTTGAACAACTACCGCTAATACCAGCTGTCCCTTGAGAACTACCCCTAATACCAGCTGTCCCTTCAACGCTACCCCCAATATCAACTGTCCCTTGAGCACTACCCCTGATGCCAGCTGTTCCTTGATAACTACCTCTAATACCAGCTGTCCCTTGAACAACTACCCCCAATACCAGCTGTCCCTTGAACACTACCCCTGACATTTAACCTTTGACCTAACAACCCCAAACCTAATAGCGTCCTTCGTCTATCAGGTCATCACCCTCTTAGCTAAGGTCAAAGAGAAAGTGATCTTATCTATAATAATTAGTGAAAACCAGCTAATTTCTCCTTATGTTATAGGTTATAATATCAACATATCAAGGGTTATAATAATCACAGTAATGTATTGGGGAAGATTATAATCAAAGTAACATATTGAGGCAGATTGTAATCACAGTAAAAACAGACAATGTGCCCGCTTAGTGACTGGCCCAGGAGGTAACACGGCAGACGCCCACTTGAGTCAGAGGCAGACATGCTTGGCCCGTGAGCTAACTTGTGTAACAGTGAGACACCCAACCACACGCCTTGTTGCACCCCACCACCACCACCACCACACGCCTTGCTGCACCCCACCACCACCACCACCACACGCCCTGCTGCACCTCACCACCACCACCACCACACGCCCTGCTGCACCCCACCACCGCACTCCCCTGCTGCACCCCATCACCACCACACACCCTACTGCACCCCACCACCACCATACACCCTGCTGCACCCCACCACCACCACACACCCTGCTGCACCATCACCACCACACACCCCTGCTGCACCCCACCACCACCCCCACACACCCCTGCTGCACCCCACCACCATCACCACCAACACACACCCTGCTGCACCCCACCACCATCACCACCACCACACACCCCTGCTGCACCCCACCACCACCACCACACACCCCTGCTGCACCCCACCACCATCACCACCACCACACACCCTGCTGCACCCCACCACCACCACACACCCCTGCTGCACCCCACCACCACCACACACCCCCTGCTGCACCCCACCACCACCACACACCCCTGCTGCACCCCACCACCATCACCACCACCACACACCCTGCTGCACCCCACCACCATCACCACCACCACCATCACCACCACCACACACCCTGCTGCACCCCACCACCATCACCACCACCACACCCCTGCTGCACCCCCACCACCATCACCACTACACCTTGCTGCACCCCACCACCACCACCACCACCACACCACACACCCCACAAACCCCACCACCACCACACACCCCTGCTGCACCCCACCACCACCACCACACACCTGCTGCACACACCACCACCACCACCACACACCCCTGCTGCACCCCACCACCATCACCACCACCACCATCACCACCACCACACAACCCTGCTGCACCCCACCACCATCACCACCACCACACACCCTGCTGCACCCCACCACCATCACCACCACCACGCACCCTGCTGCACACCACCACCACCACCACCACATACCCCGTGGCACATCATCACTAGCTCCTCCACCACCAACACCAAAACCTACTTCAACACCACCACCACCTCCTCCACATTCCGACGCTCAATTGTTTATATCTCAGTAGAGTGAGACTTATAACCCCGATAAAGCGACACAAAGAGATCCCGGGTTAGTGAAATACAGAGAGATGATCACTGTTCTTAGAGACTCCTAGGGTACAGTATATTTCCCCCCCTCTACTTGGTGGGAGGCGTCACAAGAACTCACTCACTTAACTTACGAGACCTGAGTTAATACAATCCCAGGAATCAAAGATGGCGTCGAAATGAGCTGAAACTTTCTTGTAACAACGATACTACTCATCCATGACTAAGATACTGACCCATGGTTAAGATACTGACCCATGGCTAAGGTACTGACCCATGGCTAAGATACTGACCCATGGCTGAGATACTGACCCATGGCTAAGATACTGACCCATGGCTAAGATACTGACCCATGGCTAAGATACTGACCATGGCTAAGATACTGACCCATGGCTAAGATACTGATCCATGGCTAAGATACTGACCCATGGCTAAGATACTGATCCATGGCTAAGATACTGACCCATGGCTATTATACTGACCCATGGGTGATGACCAGGAGTGGGTAACTTGGGTCAAGGCTTGAGTTGAAGAAGGTCATAAAATGATTCGCAACCAGAACCTGTTGGATAGATAGATAGATAGATTAGCTCATATTACAGATTTACGTATAATGTAATAAATAATTTTAATGATAATGTTGTTTTACGGAATACTAAACAAACTCTCTCTCTCCCTCTATCTCTCTCTCTCTCTCTCTCTCTCTCTCTCTCTCTCTCTCTCTCTCTCTGTATGCGTGTTATGGGTGTGTGGAATTTAAACATGTTTTGTTGTATTTTAAAGTAAACAGTGGAAAACTGACGTAAACACACACACACACACACACAATATTATAACAAGCATCACACACTCCTCCCCACTTGACTGAGCCCTTGTCTCCGCCCACTAGACCCCCTGGCGCCGCCCCTGAGTGGCTGTCGCGGGCGTGAGAGGCCAGACGTGGGCGTGCGTGGGCGGACGTGACCTCTCCCACACACGCGCCCGCACATACACTCACACAACTCAACCCGTACACCGACGCCCAGCACCTCACGTCCACACTGCAGGGTCGGAGTAGGGTGATCAGCTGGTCGGTAGCGGTGCTGCCATATAAAGATCAACACAGTCCTGTAATACACACACTCGTACTGTGTATATTATTATCGGGATATAGGCGTTGGTGGATGAGTATGTTTATATGTACATAGAATACAATATATGTATATAAAAGTACATATACTGTTACAATAAATATGTATTTTTAAAGGACAGAGAGCATATTAAAAATAATAATAAATAAATAAATAAATAAATAAATATATATATATATATTTATATATATATATATATATATATTATATATATATATACATATATATATACTGTATATAGTCATCCCCTAAACACACACACACTACGTCATAATCGTTCCTTGTCACAGACACAATGTTTGCATTATTTGAAATTCGCGCCCTTCTTCCCCAGAAATGGGCGTCCGTATCTCATTACAAAAATACTATAATTAGTTTGTTTTTTTCGCAACTTGTCATTTTCATAAAGAGGTTGCATAAGTAGTTTATTTTACTTTATATATATATATATATATATATATATATATATATATATATATATATATATATATATATATATATATATATATATATGCGCAAGTAAATCACTGTAGGTGCGCGTGATCCAAGTACATGTATATGGTGATAACCACAAGGAAACAAGAAAACACGAAGTTCCCAAGCGCTTTCGTGTAATTCACATCTTCAGGGGTGAGTACAGACTAAGGAGTAATACTTGACAAGGCTAATATATACATTAGAGGAGAGTGAGATCAGGGAACAGCAGGACTGTCCACAATAATCCGGTCATAAGGCAGTGACCCTTGCTAATCTTCATAACAAAAAAAATGACCATGTCATCTCTAAGCACAGCAGCTGTCCGTAGTCAGGTCATGGGGTAAGATGACCCAACCTTCTCACCTGGTTACAAATCTTCGTAATCACAAAATTATCCAGTCTGTACATACCATTACTTTACTGTATATATTAGACTTGTCAAGTATTACTCTTTACTGTAGTCTGTACTCACCCCTAAAGATGTGTTTTCTTGTTTCCTTGTGGTTATCAGCACACACACACACATATATATATATATATATATATATATATATATATATATATATATATATATATATATATATATATATATATATATATATATATATATATATATATTGATTTGTTTGTTAAATAATATACAGTAGTCATTCTGAATCTTGCCGTCACCTGTACAAGTTCCTCAACAAAGCAATTCTCCAAGTACGTGTTGGCTATCAAGCTCCTTCAGTTGAGGAGTCGTGGATGAATGTTTCCTCCCTAGCACTGGAGAAGGAAATGGCGACCCGGGAAAGGACGGCTTGGGAGCTTAAACTGATGATGATGATGATGGGATGGAGAGAAGAGAGCCACTAGCTGAGGAAGGTGGAAGACGGTGTAGGAGGAAGGTAAAGGTTAGGAAGTGGGAAATAAAGAGGGAGATTGATAGCAGGTGGGCTGTCCACCTTGCACGGGCGGGGTTAAGTCTGCCATGTCAGCATTTCATGTCCACTACAGCAAGGGAAGGGAAGCCAAGCTAATCTAAGCTAGGTAGTTTATGGTGTTTGTGGAGGGGGGGAGGGGGGCCCGCCATGTCCTTTGTGTCTCTTGGTTTTCATTTTGTATATATTGGTTCTGGTTCTGTGTTGTCAAATGTTATGCTCTATGGCCTCCAGTTGTGTGTTCTGGTATTGTCGTCTTGCATTAATTGTTGGAATATGGGGTCTTCTAGTTCTTGTAGTTTTTCCCATATTGCTAATGCTTGATTATGTGTTCTGATGTTGATTGTGGTTAGGTTATATTCTGTGTGTAGCTCTGGAATTTTTTGTATATGGTGGTCTGAGTTTTGCTGCTCTTCTGAGAGCTATGTTTTGAACTGCTTGTGTTTTGAGTTTATTTGATTTTGTTATAGTGTTAAGAACATAAGAACATAAAAATGGAGGAAACTGCAGCGGGCCTATTGGCCCATACTGGGCAGTCCCGTTTACACCCAACCCCTATTGCTCATATAAGCATCCAACCTATGTTTGAAGCTATTCAGCGTATTCGAGTTAATGATGAAATTTGGTAACTTGTTCCATTCATCCACTACTCTGTTTCCAAACCAGTGTTTACCTATTTCACGCCTAAATCTAAATTTATCTAATTTAAAACCATTGTTACGAGTTCGCTCCTGGTTGGATAGTTTGAGTACCTTAGTAATGTCCCCTTTGTTTAGCCCTGCCTTCCACTTATACACCTCTATCAGGTCGCCCCTCCCTCTACGTCTCTCGAGGGAGTGCAAATTAAGATGCTTTAGCCTGTCTCTATATTCAAGGTTCCTGATGCCCGGGATTAGTCTTGTCATTCTCCTCTGAATTCTTTCCAAGAATTCTATATCCATTCTGTAGTACGGTGACCAGAACTGAACTGCGTAGTCCAGGTGTGGTCTCACAAGAGCAAGATACAGTTTTAGGATGACCTCGCTAGTCTTGTAACTAACACTCCTTTGTATGAACCCAAGTACTTTATTAGCCTTGTTACGAGCAAAAACACATTGTTTACTTGGTTTAAGGTTCCTACTTATCATTACTCCTAAATCTCTCTCGCAGTCGGATTTCTCTATGGCATCGTTGTTCATCTGGTATCTGGTTTCCCTGTTTACATCTCCTATACTGAGTACTTTACATTTGTCGACGTTGAATTTCATCTGCCATTTTTCAGACCATTCGAAAAATTTGTTTAGATCTTCCTGTAGTTTTGCCGAGTCCTCGTCAGATTTAATAACACGTCCTATTTTAGTGTCATCAGCAAATTTACTTATGTTGCTGTCTATGCCGATATCTATGTCGTTTATGTATATAATAAACAATAATGGTCCAAGTACTGAGCCTTGGGGAACTCCACTTGTGACGTTGCTCCAATGGGACATAGTGCCGTTAATGCTCACTCGCTGTTTCCTGTCCTGTAACCACGCCCTAATCCATTTAAGGATGTCACCTTTGATGCCATGTGCTTCTACCTTTCTAATTAGTCTTTCATGGGGGACTCTGTCGAAGGCTTTGCTAAAGTCGAGATATACCACATCATAATTGTGCCCCTCGTCCACCGATTCGAAAACTGATGAAAAGAATGTTAATAGATTAGTTAGGCAAGAACGTCTGCTTGTGAAGCCATGCTGGGAATCATTGATCAATAGGTGCTTCTCCAGGTGATTTCGAATAGAGTTTGAAATGATTGCTTCCAGTAATTTGCCTACTATTGATGTTAGACTGATTGGGCGGTAGTTAGAGGATAGTGATCTATCCCCCTTCTTGAAAATCGGTATTACATTCGCTATCCTCCAGGATTCTGGTACTACACCTGTTTTTAAGGACATGTTAAACAACTTTGCTAAGGGCATACTAAGCTCTTCCTTACATTCCTTTAATACTCTGGCAAATATCTCATTGGGACCAGGTGACTTATTAGGCTTTAGTTTGTCTATTTGTTTACTAACATCGTTACTAGTCACTACTATCTCACTTAATTTGTTTTCTTCACTATCTCTGAATAGAGTCGGTGCCTCGGGTATCATGTTTAAATTTTCGGTGGTGAAAACTGTTGAAAAATATTTATTCAAATTATTGCTCATTTCTCCGTCGTTATCAGTGAGCTCGCCGAGTCTGACCGTATTGGTCCAATCTTTTCTTGTGTTTTAGTTTGATACATTTGGTAGAATCCTTTGGGGTTTGTCTTCGCCTCCCTTGCTATCCTTACCTCATTATTCCTCTTTGCTTTCCTTATCTCGGTTTTAACCCTACTCGCCAATACCCTATAATAGTCCCGGAGGTGAATTTCGCCACGATTTATCCTTCTACCTATAGCCTTCCTTTGGCCAATGATGTTCCTTAAATAATTATTAATCCATTTAGGGTCATTGTTGTCTGATCTGAGTTTTTTGTATGGTATGTTCTGCCTTTGTGCATTAAGTAACTCACTATTTAAATTGTCGTGGAACTCGGCAATCTCAGATCTCGTTATCAGGTCGGTGTCATCTGACAGGTTCACGGCCAAGCGCGACACCCCCTCTCTCAGCTGCCTCTTTAAACTGTCAAAGTTCGCCCTTCTGAAATCTGGTACTTTAGTGGAATTTTCCTTACGTCTGCCCTGAAAGTCTAACTGGAATCTAATTTCTTTGTGATCTCTGTTTGCAAATTCGTTCCCTACCTCGACCCTGCTAATGAGGTTTTCTCTGTTTGACAGAACTAAATCGAGTATATTATTACCCCGTGTGGGTTCAGTTATATGTTGACTTAGAAAACAGTCCTGGATAGTCTCGAGAAAATCCTCTGATTCTGAGTTACCTGTAAGGTCAGTCCAATCTATTTGGCCAAGGTTAAAGTCGCCTACTATACAGACTTTGTTGTGTATGGAAGCCCTGCGCATTTCATCCCAGATAAGTCGCTCTTTGACTCTATCAAGATTGGGAGGTCTATTATTACTCCTGTGATTAATTTTTCTCTACCGTCGATTAATTCTATCCAAATTGTTTCTGTATTCCGCTCAGTTTTTATTTCCTTATTTATTTCACACTTCAGATTATCCCTAACATAGATTGCTACTCCGCCTCCTTTCTTGGTCTGCCTATCGGTATGGAACAGTTTGTAACCCGCAATTTGGTATTCGACTGGTAACTCACGTGTGTCTAGGTTGATCCATGTTTCAGTGAATGCTATTATATCGATTTTTTCGGTACATACCAAGGCCCTAATATCATCCATTTTGTTTCTCATACCTCTACTGTTCGCATAGTATACATTTAAGTTAGTCGTGTTCTGAGTCCTCCCCTTACCTCGTTTAGTTTTAAACTCCCTGGAATTGGGGGATATTCCAGGTGTGGTGTGACTAGTGCTTTGTAAAGGTGTAGTTGTGTGTTGGTGTTTAATTTGCGGAATCTAATGAGTTTAGTTAGTTGGGTCTTGGCTTTTGCAATTCTTTCTGTGGTATGCAGTTCCTTGTAATTTTGAGGCCGAGGATTTTCCCATTTAGTGCTCATGGTATATTTTGATTGTTGACCATGATTGGGTAAGGTCTGGTTTTAGTTATGTGAATCGTCAGTTTTTGTGTGTTTTTAATTTTCCATTTCTTTTCATATTTGTTTATGGTTTCTATTTCTCTGCTTGTTCTGATTGCCATCGTTTTTTGGATTTCCCTGGGTAGTGTATGATTTGGGTTACGTCGTCTGCATATGCTATGTACTCTTGAGTTTCTTGGGCTGGGCATGTCCGCTGTATATATGGTGTATAGTGTTGGTGATATGTTGCTGCCTTGGGGTACTCCACTGTAGAGGGTGAAGTTTTGTCTTATGTAGTAGTCGATGGTGAGTTTGGATTGTCTGTTGTCAATGAAGTGGCATGTTATGTTAGATGATCTTATATTCGAGTCCTTCGTGCCAAACTTTGTCGAAGGCTTTGCTGACATCTCTGAGTACTATGATGTATTGGTTTCTGTTGTTGGCTGCATTTGCGACGGATTCATATATTAAGGCTATTGAGGTGTTGGTGCCTCGGTTTTTCCTAAGGCCGTGTTGTCTATGGTTGTATTTATCTTCACACTCTAGGTGGTTTCTTAGTCTCTGGTTTATTATTTTTTCAAGGATTTTGCCAGGTGTTTCGAGGAGTGAAATGGGTCTGTAGTTTTCTGCCTGTGTTGGGTTCTGTCCTTTTTTTGGAAAGAGTCTTATTTTTGCCTTTTTAAATTTGGATGGGAATAATCCGCTTGCTATTGAAGCATTGAAGATGTCTGCAAACTGTTTGATCATTGGTGGTGGTATGTTTTGCAGCACAGTTTTGTTTATTTGACTTATTCCGGGCGATTTATTCTTGAAGGTGGCAATTGTGTTTGTGATGTGATGTGTAGTTAATGGATCAATTAGTGGATCGTTATTATCTAACGTGTTGAGGTTGATTGTCCTGGATTGTTGCCATTTGTCTGTGTTTTGGTTCAAGTGTGTTTCCACCAAGTGTTCTGTTTCTCTGCAGAAGTTTAGGTTGTCCTCATCCGTGATTTGGTAGATGCTGCTCCAGAATGTTCTGAATATTGGTTCCTTGAGTTTAGGTTCTGTTATCTTCTTGCCACTGTTGTCTATAAGGTAGCTGCTCTCCTCTGAGTTGGTTCCCATGAGATTTTTTATTTTAGTCCAGAAAGCTTTTGGATCTTTATAGTCTGCTTGGGTGTTGGTTATTAGTTGGTTCCATTTCTCATTGTAATTTATTTTGCATCTTTCTAATAATTCGTCTTTGAGATTTCTATACAATACAGTGATGTGTGGGCTCCAGCAGTGTGTTTTTATAAATTCATGCAGGTTGGTGAACCTGGTTTGGATGATTTTTTCTTCGTGTGTTAGTTGTACATATGGTAGTGTGCGATATGTTGTTTTGGGGATGTTGTTTTCATGGCTATTGTGATTTTTGTATACCAGGTTTCTAAGGCAATGTCGATCTCGTTGGTGTTTTTGTTGTGGAGTGTTATTGCTTCATCGGTGTTGAGGGCTGTTTTGAAACTTCCGTGTTTGTTGCTTTGGGTACATAGATGAAACGGTATGAAAGTATGCATGTGATTGGTCCAGATGTAAACTAAATGTTTGTGATTGGTTTGCTTCCAATTTTGTCGTGTGTTCTGTGATTGGATATTTAATTTTTTTTTTGGAGCATGTAAATGACTAATTTTTTTTTTCAATTGTATTGGAGCAAAGGTAATAAAAAACCACATATTTAAAAACAAAAGTACTGGAAAATTTTTGAGTACTTTTTAAAAAGTAAATGCTCAAAAATGTTACTGAGTACAGTACTCAAGTACTTAGTTACTTTCAACTCTGAGGAGTAGGCCTTTGCGACTACACTTGTCCACTCTATTTCCCCCTATGGTTCCCAACAGGCATTATAGTTAGCCTATGGAGGATGGATTGGCAAATGGCAAAGCCAATTATATAAGTGTGGTTTCTCCGCAGCAGGCTTACCCTTCCAGAAAAAGATACAGTAAAGCCGGACCCCCGTTCTATGAGCCAGTACTCACTAATGGCTGCTTTGTCGATGTTATACAGCCCTCTTGCCACAAGAGTGGTTTTTCTTTCAGGACACTCAAAGTTACCGGTATCCAGAAGGGTCGTAACACTCCATGCAGCGACCGTAAGAGGTTGCATAGTTTGTTTTGGCTTTGATCTGTGATTGTGATAGTTTTCGACCGCATTAGGGCGACCTTACTAGGTGCGGTTGCCCAGTCTGGTTCTTTTTTTAGGCAGGCTATGTTTAGGGCACCATTTCTAGCCCCCTCCCCATGTGGGATGAGCAGTGGCTCCTGGAAATAGCTGCTCAGTCGCACAGACCACACATTTTGGCTCTCCCTTTTCCTGATTCAGTGGTACAGGTATCTGCAACAAGCTCAGTTTGTTGGGTTTCGCCTGAGTAGCCTGTCCATCTTTCATTGCCTTCATCCGCTGGTGTAGTCGTTGGGTTCCTGTGTTGGTCACCTCTTCCGCCTATTCTGCTGTTGAGGTCTTACTGGAGCTCTGTAAGCATGTCTGCCTGATACGGGGCTCCACCGCAGATCCAAGGTTAATCCGCAAGGCAGTTGGGCAGTGGTTGGTAAGAGCCAGGGCGTGTCTACATGCCGGTAGACCTATGCGCCGTCTCTGGGGCCCACTGCTGCTCCGAGATCCCCTGCTTGTCTAGCCTGGGGCCGTGAGGCATCCAGTTACCGTGTGTTGCCACGAGGAGGCACAGCAGAAGTCTTGATGGTGAAGAGGCTGTGTATTGGCAGGGCAAACCTTACGCAAGGTTGCTTCCCTGTTCGCCACGAGGGCTGGCCAGCGGTGGTAGCTGAACATGAGAGGAAGTAAGCAGTGCCTGTACCTTAGCTCTAACATAATACTGCCACATAAGATGCATTACACCACCCTGTGTGCAAACACACACACACAATGCTTGGGGGATTTTTCATAGTTTGTATATCTGCACTGTGTATGTGCATTATATACCTGCATGGCTGCACTACAGTGTATCTGCACGTCTGTGTACATTATGTACATTCACAATTTATGTGAATTGTATACCTTCTCTGTCCCGGGCCTAACCTAGCATAACCTAACCGACCCTCACGTAGGCGGCGTTAGGGAGTGTAATTATCAGGTAAAATAAGCGTGTTGAAGACTTATCTTCACGTGAGCCGACGAGTGTTTCCTGTTAACTCTCCTAATCTCTACCCTCATATAGCGACTGGCAGACGAACACACAGCCCCTTGTTTAGCCCATCTCGGCCACCTTACCCAACAATTACATTAATAAGGCCACCACTGTTAGTTTACGCACGTCTGATCACATTCCCCGCCTCCTGCTACACGCGTACGATTTCCTGCAATATTGTGGACATGAAGTTTGATGACGTCACATTAAGTCTTCTATCTTATAAGGGCAGTCTGGAATTCATAATTCCTCAGTATGAGGTTTTATTCACTCAAACAGGAAGGGTCAAGTAAATAAGGTGCTTTAATTGATGCCATATAATTCTAAGAACTACTCTCTCTCTCTCTCTCTCTCTATATATATATATATATATATATATATATATATATATATATATATATATATATATATATATATATATATATATATATATATATATAACACCCCAACACCTGTTATATTTTGGGGGTTGAAAGCGTCAATGGCACACGACTCCATACTTGCAGTCGACCTTTCTAGGTGAGTCGCAGCAGCCTCTCGCCCTGTGAGAGATGAAAGTGGAGACATTCCTTGCCTTTATGAACGCTCTCCCCTCTTACCCGTGACTGAGTCTTGAACCTGGTATCCTGATATGTTGGACTAGTTTTCACCCCATAAGCCTTATTACTTATGTGTTAGTCAAGATTTGTCAACCAAAGTCTGTAAACAATAACAGTGGTGCCACATGTATTCAGAAAACGCACATGTATAACACAAAAATTAGCACTAACGTGACAGTGTGGGTTTGTGGGCGTGTAGAGGCAGAACGTGGGCGTGATGAGGTGTGGCGACATGGGCGGGAGGGACACGGGACGCTCAACGCCCTGCCACACCCCGCCCACAGGAAAACATCCCAGGACCTCATAACAGTCTGTAGTAAAAAGAACCAGTACAAAAAATTGGGTCATTTTCATTCTCTGAGTACGGAAAGTTAAGGTAATTTTTCATTTGAGTACCAGAATATAAGGTAATTTTCCGAGTATTGTTAATGAAGGTTAAATGATTTTCTTACCTACTAGTATAACAATTTAGAAAACGAAAACATTTAAGGCATTCCTAAATTAAAAATTTCTTTGTAACTAATTGTATTAAAATGTACAACAAATATCAACATTAGAGAACAGTTCAATAAACTTAAATAAACAAATTAAGTGTTTAACTGACATGGTGTTTTGAGTAAAGTAATATCAATCTATATTTGTGACACAAGGCCATACTAATAGTCGTTACACCACCCGACCAATGGGGGATTTGTAAGGGTGAGGCTGTAGTGGATACTCTCCCCTACAACTGCTGATTGGTCACTAGCCGTCCGCTTACCAGCCAACCAGCGGCGAGTTCCACAAATCAGCCCTAGCATTCGAACTGCGCGGTGATTGGAAAGTTGCCGCCTTCATCTTAGCCAATCGGCAGAATTTCTCATCTTTGCATTTCGATTCTTGATCCGGCAGAGTGATATAAATATCCCATGCCTCGCCCAAAACAATAGAGAGAATGGAAAAAGTATTTCAAATATCAGAAGAAGAAAATGAGCAATTTGATGAGGAACACGAAAATATCTGCAGAGAAATGGCTGAAATGATACACAGGATAACCCCATACCATGTGGTGGACAAAACCAGGCTCAACCCGATAGAACCAATTACAGAAGGAGAACTGCTACACTACATCAGGCACACGAAAGAAAAAGCACCAGGATTTACAAAAATCACAAGAAATATGATCCTATACCTACCCAACAACTGCACACAAGGCATCCTTGAAATATTTAACTCAGCTTTGGCAAGTGGATACTTCATTGATGCATTTAAAAACGCAAAACTCATATTCATACCGAAACCAGCCAAAGACCACACTCAAGTAATTAACTACAGACCGATTTCTCAACTCGAAGTTATAGGAAAACTATTTGAAAAGGCAATAAACAAGAGAATCAGAAAACACAGAAGTGAAAACGGACTACTAAACCCCAGACAACATGGATTCACTGAAAAAAAGGGAACACATACTGCACTAGCCATAATCACGGAAACGTTAGCCAACAAGAAGGCAGAAAGAAACCAAGTCAACATTGTACTAAGAGACGTTAAGAAAGCGTTCGATAAAGTATGGCACCTAGGATTAAAATTTAAACTGCTTCAATTAAATCTTCCAGAACCACTAGAAAAAATCGTCTGTGACTTCCTAGACGACCGCACGGCACAAATACAAATTGGCAGCTATATAGGACCACCCATAGAACTGAAAAGTGGAGTCCCCCAAGGCAGTGTCCTTTCACCCACGCTGTACAATATCTACACAGCAGACCTACCAGAACCAGCTCCCTACAGTGAATACATAAGTTTTGCAGACGATATCACACAAATCATCACATACCCCGGCAAATCAACAGCAATAATGGCACAACATACTGCCAACGCAATAGAGAACATCAACCAGTACGAAAAAAAGTGGAAGATACAAACGAACACCAACAAGTTCAAAATAATCCCAATCGCTAAAAGGAAAAAAGACCCCATTATAGTAGACAACAAAGTGATTCCATATGCCATGGAAGGCACTGTCCTAGGGCTGAAGATAACAACAAAAGGCTACAAAACATTCATCACCGAAAAACTTGCAAAAACCAGAAACATGGTAATTAAATTAAAACGCTTCAGAAGCCTGTCAGCAAAAAACAAGTTAAAGTTATATGGAGCCTATGTCCAATCCCGACTAGTATATCCACCAATTCCCCTACATGCAATAAAACAAACAAACATAAAGAAACTGCAGACAATTAAAAACTTAGCCCTAAGGGATGTATATAACATCAGATATCCTGACATAGTCACCAACCGTCAACTACACCAACGAGCGCAAATAGAACCCCTAAACGTTTACCTACACGAACACTCAAAAAGAATATGGACAAAGTTAGAAGAAATAGAGCCAGGACCAATCAAAGAATGGATGGAAGAGACAGAAGACGGAAGAAGAGAACACTCGTGGTTCCCTCGCAGTAAAAGAAGAGCCCTAGAACCCACACCAACTCCACTCTATTGAAAGATGCAACGTTACCCCAGTGACAACCTTGGCAGCCCTACCACTTACAACACTAGATCATAAAAAGACGGGATGTTCTTAGCAGAAACACAAGTACCTGCCCTAGACTCCTCACCATTGGCTAGGACACAAGACACGAAAATGTAAGGAATAAAATGACAACACTTGTTAAACATGCAAACACCTGACATAAATATAACACGCAAGACGAAAATTAGCTGAAACACAAACATGAGAAAACAGAAGCACTTGGGTTGAGCCCCAAGATGTAACACCCTACTACTACTTTCCAATTTCCTCGCCTTTCTTTTTCCACCAACCCCAAGTCTCTCCAAACTCCACCTTCATTCTTCAAGTCCAGTTCCCGTACCACCAATCTACGCACCAGCATCAAGATCTCTTTACACTTTACTTCACCCATCGATTCGATTCGAATCATCATCACTATCATTCGCCAGCCAGCCTTCGCCAGCCAGCCTTCGTCGTGATCGGACCTCTATCAAGACCCTTCACTGCCAAAGCCAGCCAGCGTTTGTCTCTGACCCAGTAGCTGTAATATCATTGGTAACCGACCACCACTGGAAGCCTGTTGATGGCGACCCGCCTGTTACGGACAACGCATTAGACCACCACTACAAGCCTGATCGCCCCTACTAGGGCACAGCGAAACCAGATATCCCCCGCGAGCGCTCTGGACTGCCAGAGGCAGCAGAACTCCCCACGGATAGTGTGAGTGACCCACACTCCTGCTGGAGGGCTGCTGTCGGCTGTCGGTCCTGACGTGGTTTGGGGTCTTTCCCTCCCACTCAGTCTTTCCTCTTTTCGCTCTGGCCTGGGGACCTGCAGGCTCAGAGGTGTATTCGTCCTCAGGTCCCCCCTGTAAGCATTCACCTTCCTCCCAGGAGTTTGTGCAAAAGGAAAGGGGGTCGGAGCCAATACCACCGCCGAGCCTTCCTGGATAACCGTGATCGTACGGGTCCACCCAGGGAGGGGGTCGCTATCCCTCATCCTCCCCTCCCTCCAATTAGGTACACTAGGCTCGCGCCTCACATAAACGAGCAGCTTTAACACTAGGATAGTAGGTGCGCCTTACGGGGCCACCGGGAGACACACACACACACACATACATACATACATACATACACACGTACATATACACGCACACACACACACACACACACCTCTCCGGACGCATGACAACGAGAACGACGCAGCAATGACCAGGACTACGGGTAACAGGATTCGGGTGCGCTCCCTTCGGGGAGGAGTATCCGAAAAGAAGAAAAGAGGAGTCAGGCACAATCCTATGCGCACGCCTAGGAATCAAATTCGCCGCACTAATAGAAGCAAAGGACTCCTTCATAGTTCTTTGGGTAGAAGAAAAGGATGTCGATCTCATGTTATCGACTGAATCGATAGATACACTTAAAAGAGATAACTTGGAAATAGCCATCCCACCATTACTAACAATTCACCAATTGAAATATCGCGAGAAATAGAAGACAAAAACACATGGGCTAAAGTGGAAGAGGTGGTACTGCTCCCCAGGGCTCCAACGATGATGAAAGTGAGATTCATAGAAATCGCCATGGCTCAGAAGGCACTAGAAAATGACATCTCCATCTCCATCTCCCACTACCACCTGTCAAAACACCAAATTGAAAAAGATAATTTCTATCCCATAACACTTTGCTGGACATGTTATAATTATAACCACGTATCAGCCAATTGCCCTAATAAAGACAAAAAGTTCTGCTCGGAATGTGGAGCTGAAGGGCACACATTCAGGGAGTGTAACAGCAAAGAAAACCCAAAATGTCTGAGTTGCAAAGGACATCACCGTACTTTGGCAGCACGCTGCCCAGTAAGGAAGGACATCATTAAAGACATGAAAGAAAAAGGAAAAGTCGAACAAACAAATAGAAACTGACCCAACCAAAACCTATGCTGCAACAACAAAGTTGCAAGACACCACTTCTAAAGTGTTAGAAAAAACAAAAGATAAAGCCAATGCAGAAAACACTTACCTGGAGCTAAGTGAAGGTCTACCCTTCACCATACTAACGGCACTGATACATGCCCACATAAACAACGTGGCTAAGCCGAGAACATTCGGAAGAACTATCAGAGAAATGTTTGCAGCGAACAACCTACCACAGGTAAACTTCCCAGACGATACCCCATCAGCAGACATTTTCCAAATAATAACCGAAAACAGTCTAGGAATCACCACCAAAGAAAGGGAAGATAAAATAACACAGCACGAAGATTACACAGGAGAAGAGACTGAAATGGAAACAACTCACTCCCAACTAACACAACACACAACGAGACCCTAAAGAACACAACCGACCAATCAGCGAAGCCACCATCAGTAAAACAACGTAGAGAGATCCCCATTGGTCAACGGCCAACCGACGCCGAAGAAAGCAGAGGACTCAGATTTTACTCAGTCACCTCCCAGCCAACAGTAACAAATGAGAGACTGTTAAAAGACATTCAAGAAGGAACAACCAAATACACATACGAAGATAACAGGGTAGAAGAGGGACTCATAGAAACACTAATACGTGGAGGAAGAAAAGCAGCAAACATAATAAAATCGAGAGGGTAGACCCAACGAAATTCAAGAAAATAAGAACAGGACTGAAGGAAGAGAGACAGAGACACTACCCCGGAGAAACCCGAGCAACCAAACAACACGCACCAAGTTCCCACGATTACGCAAAACAGAACACTGAAAATAATACAACACAACGTCCTGGCCTGGACACATACAAGAAAAACAGAACTAACAAACATTTACAACAACATAAACCCAGACAT